CTCTCTCTTTCTCTCTCACTCAGTCACTCTCTCTCTCTCTCTCTCTCTCTCTCTCTCTCTCTCTCTCTCTCTCTCTCTCTCTCTCTCCGCCATTCCTCTCGCCCCCCCCCCCCCTCCCCCATGGTGCTTGCTGTGTACGCCGATCCCGAGACCCTTGGTCGGGGGAGTCCACTGCATCTCACCAGCGCAGCTCATGTAGCGCCTACACACCCATTGTTGTCTTTTTGTTTTGTCTTCGTTTTGTCTCCCCTTCTTCCGTAGGCATGTGCAATGTGATAAAAATAAAATAAAAAGGCTGCTAGCTCCATACCTGGTAGGAGGTGGTCCTCGCCATCATTGGTGTAGAGGATGAACAGGGTGGGACCAAGGATACTGCCCTGCGGCACGCCAGCTTTGGTCGGGTACGGACTGGAAAGTTCACCTCCAACTGCAACCCTCAAGTGACGATCGGTCAGGTAATCCCCTCAGCCAAGCGAGAAGTGGACCAGTTACACCATTACATAGCATTGTGCCTTGTGCAAAACGCCTACATGAGAGACGCGGTCGAATGCGCCAGCCACATCAACTGCGATGACTCTAACCACACCACCTCTGGCTGCAACGCGACTCCATTGGTAGTTGAGTAGCGTGAGTATGTCCTGGGTGCCGAGTTGGCTGCGGAAGCCAGTACATAAGTACACCGGTAAATACCAAGAGCAAATACTACAGTAGTACTAATAATAAGAAAGGGTTTGCTCCCCACCGGAGCTCGCGCTATTCCGCTATTCCGCTATTTCTTACAAATCATCGCAACCACTACTTAGTACTTAGTACTAATAATTATACTAATAAGGTACATGTAGCTCCTACTCCCTGGAAGTGTATAAGTTTTATTCATTACAAGGCAGATTCTGCTCCAAGAGCAGTGAAATTGGCAGAATCCCGCAGCAAATTCCGACTTCCTTCTGCTGTCCACATGGAATGCCCCACCTGCTACCATCCTAAATACTGTCCCACCCTCAAGCAATGCTGCAACGGCTCAAGATAGCGGTAATTCGGTAAACAAGCACCTTCTGGAGCACACCTGTGCGATTGCCATCGATGTGTACATCACATGCAGACTGACTAGGGTATGTAGTAGTAGTAGTAGTAGTAGTAGTAGTAGTAGTAGTAGTAGTAGTAGTAGTAGTAGTAGTAGTAGTAGTAGTAGTAGTAGTAGTAGTAGTAGTAGTAGTAGTAGTAGTAGTAGTAGTAGTAGTAGTCTGGGTGTGAAGCTGCCGTGCATACGATGACCGACATGCTTGCCTCGCCGGAGGTGGAGGGTGTGCTCTTGGTCGATGCCACCAACGCTTTCAACGCTATGAACCGCACAGCAGCCCTACACAACGTGCCACTCGTCTGCCCTGCCCTGGGGCAGGTGTTCAAGAACACCTACAGCAGTCCATGCCGCCTGTTTGTGTCGGGTGGTGGAGAGATAAGGAGTCAGGAGGGTACCTGCCAAGGTGATCCTCTCGCCATGGCGATATACGCGGTCGCCATGATGCCATTGATAGACAAGCTGTCAGAGTGCTGCCCCGACGTGGTGCAGCTATGGCATGCTGATGACGATGCTGGTGGCGGACAGCTCCTCAATCTAAGGCAGTACTGGGATGGGATTCTGGAGCATGGCCCTGGCTATGGGTACTACCCTAACGCGAACAAGACAACACTAATTGTCAAGGAGCAGCATTCGGCCCTGGCACTCCAGCTTTTCAGGGACACGGGCATTCGTGTTGTGACCGAGGGTGCTCGTTATCTTGGCGGCGCACTCGGTACAACGGTCTTCTGTGAGGAGTATATCACAGATTTGATCGACAAGTGGACGCTGCAGGTTGATCGCCTGGCGGAGGTGGCCACCACTCAGCCACATGCTGCGTACGAGGTGTTTGTAAAGGGCCTCGTGTCCAAGTGGCGGTACCACTTGCGCGTCCTATCTTGCCCTGCGCATCTTCTGGCCCGTCTCGACGCCGCCATTACGGACAAGCTGCTGGCAGCGCTCAGCGGCCATTCGTGTTCGGACGAGTCGGCACTGAGAAAGTTGCTATCGCTACCAGCGCGGTTTGGTGGCATGGCAATCCCTGTGCCCTCGGTGGAGGCCGAGAAAGAGTTTTCTGCATCCAGACAGATTGTGGCTCCTGTGGCGGCCTGCATAAGACCACCAGAACATCCAACAAGCACCAACGAAACTACTCAAACAGACCAGCTGAACGAGGCAATAGCCCTCAGCCGGCAGGAGGCCGGGCGTATTCGCAGAGAGAAAGCTGCCCAAGCCACGGGTCTCGTTAGCGAATTGCGCCCGGATTTGACAGCAACACAGGCGCTGTTGGTGGAGAATGCCGCGGAAAAGGGCGTATCATCTTGGGTAACGGCGGAACCATCGTCCCAAATGCAGATGGTGCTGAACAAATCGGATTTCCGAGATGCGTTCTGCATCCGCTACGGCCTGCAGCCTGACGGACTCCCCCTGACTTGTGTATGTGGTGCTGCAAACACAATAGACCATGCGATGATGTGTCCGGCAGGGGGCTACCCCATGGCACGACACAACGAGATCCGGGACTTGTTGGCTGACGTGATGCGTGAGGCGGTCCGGGATGTGGAGGTAGAACCGCCTCTACTACCATATGATGGTGAGCGGCTCCAAGGGAGGACAGCCAACCGCTCGGCAGGTGCCCGCCTGGACATCCGGGCTTGTGGCTTCTGGACGAGACAGCAAGATGCCTTTTTCGACATCCGGGTTACACACCCAAAGGCAAGCTTGCTGTCGCGTCAGGAAGTCATCAGCCAGCTCCGAACGCATGAACGGATGAAGAAGCGCCAGTACGGAGAGCGGGTGACAGCAGTGGACAGGGGTACGTTTACACCTCTAGTTTTTTCTACCTCGGGCATGATTGGCAGAGAATGTTCAATGGCACTGAAGACACTGGCATGCCTGATTGCAGAGAAGAACGTCGACCTACACGTATCGGTCATCGTGGGTCAGCTCCGTTGTAAGCTGTCAGTCTGCCTTATGCGATGGGCAGTCACCTGTTTGCGTGGTTCAAGATCGTCATACCGCCGCAACAGGATGAATTTCACGACGATGTGCAGGTTGCGGGCAGCCTGAGCGTGACAGTACCTCACAGACATTTGCCCAACATTGTCCCATGATAATGAATTTTTGAGTTTTTGGACATTGTATTGCATTGCTGCTCCATCTACATGGCTGTATTTGTGTTTCACATCTCCATTTCAAGTTTCCTAATAAAGATTGTGTCAAGTAGTAGTAGTAGTAGTAGTAGTATTTATTATTTTACTAGGGCAATCCCCACAGACTGTGAGTCTTTTTACAGGGTACCCTAGGTAAGTGCGTGAAATAGAGCTGAATGAAGAAAGCCGTAAGTGCGTGAAATAGAGTAAAGAAAAAAGAAAACGATGTGTGATAACGTTAGCCGTAACAAACATGACTGTTTCTTTTACCTCAAATGGCAAGGAGCAGCAAGTAGCGTTTTGCGGACCTGGTCCAGTGAAGCCTAGCTGGTTCCAGGGAATAATTTGTAAAGAATATTACTGTACATGAGTACGAGGGTGATACCGCCGATACTACAATTGTAGTACTACCCACCACTGTACATGTAGTAGATTTGACCCTGTGAACCGAATGGGACATCACATTGTGTGGAGACCCTCTCCGATGCCACACCCATTCACCCCCATCTGACACATCATTCGCGGGATAGAAATATTCAAAGCTTCGAATTGTTTTAATTGAAGTCTAAGCAGAAGTGAAAGGACATATGTAACCGGCTACTGCGGGTTGAGGAAAAGAATGATCTTTATTCGTACTGCACGGGGTTATATATGATGTAAAGGTGTCAACTAGATAGGCGGGATGGTAGGTGATAGGCCGACGGGCCGTGGATAGAGGGGATAGGAGTGTGAGCAGCAGGTAACACTGTTACACCATCCCACTCCCCTAAAGGAAGCATAGGGTTCTACGAGCAACTCAAGTAGCTAAATCTGCATGTGGATAAGCGGAATAAGTCGAGAACCCAACAGTCAAATCGCGAGGAAAATTACACAGAATGCAGTGCAATGGAATTCCAGAAGTTAACTCAGCTGCAATATCAGTGAAGATTCCTTGAATTTAAATAACGTCTTAAAAACACAATGTCTCTGCCAGACTCATCGCGCAAATTAGTTGCGGGTTCCCATGTAGCTTCGTCGACAGGATAGCCCTGCCAATGGACCAGGTACTCTCGCTGTCCCCTACGCTCTCGGTGATCCAGAATTTCTTCGACCATGAACCGTGTGTTTCCATCGAGGTCAGTGAATGATGGTGGTGGAGGTTGCTCTCTGCCAGGAATAGCGTTTTCCTCATACCGCCGCAAGGCAGTAATGTTGAAGACGGGATGGCAACGAATCGTGCGAGGAAGCTCCAAACGATATGCGTTTGAGCTAATCTTTGCCTGCACGCGGTAGGGCCCAAACCACCTTGGCCGCAGCTTCCGGGACGGTTGAAGACGGGCCTCTGGCGTTAGCAAGAAGTCCTTATAAACAAGCACCATATCACCAACCTTGAACTGGCTGGGAACCCTTCCACGGTCTGCGTACAGCGCCTGGCGTGCTTGAGCGGCCACTGAGGCATCACGGGCAATGTCTAATGCATCACGTTGTTGCTGGAGCCAATCAACAGAGGCAGAACTCTCCCCTCCCCGTAAAATAAATTCAGGTGGGGACCGAGGATTAAATCCATAATTCAAGCAGAAAGGAGTGTTAGGAATAGATGATTGTTGGGAACTGTTAATGGAAAACTCACACAACGGAAGAAGGGTGTCCCAATTGTCCTGTTTATGATTGACAAAAGCTCGTAGACAAAAGCGCAGCGGAAGCGTGCTGGGCCCATAACCCAGAGGTCGATGGATCGAAACCATCCTCTGCTACCAGTGTAACCGGCTACTGCGGGTTGAGGAACAGAATGATCTTTATTCGTACTGCACAGGGTTATATATGATGTAAAGGTGTCAACTAGATAGGCGGGATGGTAGGTGATAGGCCGAAGGGCCGTGGATAGAGGGGATAGGAGTGTGAACAGCAGGTAACACTGTTACAACATCAATGTAAAAGAGTCCCGGGAAATAGAGATAGAAGAGAAGATGATGAAAATGAACATCATGAACGTGGATGTGAACAGCGCCTGCAAAGTTGCCGGAGAAGATGAACTTTGCGCTGTTCTCCGAAGTGACACACGATGAGTCTGGCGAGGCTGGAGGTACTTGTGTCCTTTCCAAGGCTTCCAATTCCGCAGGAGTTGACTCCTGCAGAGCTTTATCAACCTCCGCATCGAGCAGGTGAGCTGTAGCAATCTTATCTTGCTCGCTAGGCTGTAGGCCCCAGCGGCAGATGCTAGCTAAATGTTGCCAAGATGCTTTTTGGGATGCTAGCTGCCAACTCAGAAAGATGCTAGTTTGGATGCTAGACAACACGAATTATGCTACCTATTAATGGTAATGAAGTTGATTGTTCCAACTAGGAACACACGCTTCTTGCCGAACTTGACACTTGACTGACTCACGACTGCCATCCGGAGCACACGAGGAGCACGTCGCACCTTCCACTCGGCAAACCTGCAAGAAAGCACCACTCCCTGCTCAATACACGGTGTTTCGGGCACCCCTCATCAGTTGAGCTTGAGTAGGCTGAGGAAGATTGTGCCTGAAAAGCACCACTTCTCTCCAGGCCAAACCATCACCAGGGATACAAACTTACAGAGACGCTTTGTTTCCAGCGCGACAAACACCTCGTGAAGCTCCAGGTAGCAGCGTGAGTCAGAGTCGCTCATGGAGTTGTGATAAACAGACGTTGAGAGCCAGTGTAGCTATTCGCAACGCTGTCACCTCCAACAACTAGTCGCACGTCCGCGTGAGGGACAACATTAGAGAGGTTAAGATGCACGTTATTTCCGACGTGACGCGCAATTTCACGTCAAATTTGGCGTAAAACTCCAAATTTCGACGTGAGCAGCAGGTCGCTCGCGTTGATTTTTCGACGTGCGAGCAAATAACGCGAGCTGAACTTTCCCGTCACGTCGGAAATAACGTGCATCTTAACCTCTCTAATACGAACTTAGAAGTTGCGACTTCGGCGGTAATAGTCATGAAGTTGATTGTTCCAACTAGGAACACACGCTTCTTGCCGAACTTGACACTTGACTGACTCACGACTGCCATCCGGAGCACACGAGGAGCACGTCGCACCTTCCACTCGGATAACCTGCAAGAAAGCACCACTCCCTGCTCAATACACGGTGTTTCGGGGAATTCACCCCTCATCAGTTGAGCTTGAGTAGGCTGAGGAAGATTGTGCCTGAAAAGCACCACTTATATACTGCTCTCCAGGCCAAACCATCACCAGAAGTTCGGCAAGAAGCGTGTGTTCCTAGTTGGAACAATCAACTTCATGACTATTACCGCCGAAGTCGCAACTTCTAAGTTCGTATTGTTGTCCCTCACGCGGACGTGCGACTAGTTGTTGGAGGTGACAGCGTTGCGAATAGCTACACTGGCTCTCAACGTCTGTTTATCACAACTCCATGAGCGACTCTGACTCACGCTGCTACCTGGAGCTTCACGAGGTGTTTGTCGCGCTGGAAACAAAGCGTCTCTGTAAGTTTGTATCCCTGGTGATGGTTTGGCCTGGAGAGCAGTATATATAACTAAGTGGTGCTTTTCAGGCACAATCTTCCTCAGCCTACTCAAGCTCAACTGATGAGGGGTGCCCGAAACACCGTGTATTGAGCAGGGAGTGGTGCTTTCTTGCAGGTTTGCCGAGTGGAAGGTGCGACGTGCTCCTCGTGTGCTCCGGATGGCAGTCGTGAGTCAGTCAAGTGTCAAGTTCGGCAAGAAGCGTGTGTTCCTAGTTGGAACAATCAACTTCATGACTATTACCGCCGAAGTCGCAACTTCTAAGTTCGTATTAATGGTAATGGTGAAACATTTTGGTTGAAAACGGTGTTCCGTGCTATTTATGAATTGTCACAAAGCAGGTATGTAAAAAGAGTTTTTAAAGGTGCGATGTTGGCATCATGTTGCTATGGAAATATTTGCAATACAAAAGAGCAAATACCAAGAAGTACCAATGGCAATGTGGGTCTTGGTCACAATTAGGTAATGCAAACAAATTGAATGTAGTGCATGTAGTCCAACCAAAGACTACATAAGGCTCAGTAATCCTAATACTAGTTTCATAGTGTAATCTAGACCGAATTCCACATCCAGAATGCCAAAATTGGCAAAAATGTATCGGATGCCGGTAAAAACTGCTGTTTATGCTAGCATCGTGTGGAGTCACAAAAAGGCCCTTTTATGCTACTTTGGGTGCTAGCATTTGCCGCTGGGGCCTACTACAAGTACTAGGCTGCAAGTAAGCTGTTAGGCTCTGCACGTTGCGATGGCCAGACGTTCGCATTATTGTTGGGACACTGATGTTGTGCTTGGCCAATGTAGTTATGGCTGTTGCACGTACGCTGTGGTTAGTGTAGGTCTGACTCAGGTTGGCTGATTCACTGAGCTTCTTCATCAGCCCGTCAATCTTGTTTTTGCCAAACACCTGTCCAGTATACCACACTGAGTCGTTAGGTCGACAATGCTTCCTAGGGATCTGGAACAAGCGTGTTGATTTCGGAGACAGCTTCGAAATCAGAAGCAGAACGGGGCTTGCTTGCCGTGCTTGTGACTTTTTTTTCCCCTGCTGCCGTGCTCATATTAGTTATCTAACTTCAGCTGCATCTTCTTCTTGGTTCTGTTTGTCCGCTTATAATTATAATATTTTTCTTTTCTCTTATTATCAGTGGGACCATTGTCATTAGGTTTAGGCCTGTTTTGGAACTGGCTCCACTTTAAATAAAGCCAAACAACAACAACAACAACAACAACAACAACAACAACAACAACAACAACAACAACAACAACAACAACAACAACAACAACAACAACAACAACAACAACAACAACAACAACAACAACAACAACAACAACAACAACAACAACAACAACAACAACAACAACAACAACAACAACAACAACAACAACAACAACAACAACAACAACAACAACAACAACAACAACAACAACAACAACAACAACAACAACACTTGCCAATCCGTCACAATCATGCCATCCGACAGTGTATCTTTTCCCTTGATCCCACCTTGTTGGTTTTTCTGGGTAAACGCTGTGGCTAATATGTGATGTACATGTACGTCTTTCCCTGTCGGTCCGTTTTCACTTCCAGGTCATCAACTGTCAGGTGCGCTTGTATTTTCTGAACCCCTGAGACAGAAGTGATATGTGATGACGAACCAGACAAGGTAGGTGAGATGCTCGGGGTTGTTTTTCCAGTCTGTTAGATGTCTGTAGATTTTGTCTTTGTCTTCGTCGGAGATTGGTGGCTTGTGTTGAGTCGGGGTTGCCAGGCCGTCGCCCTTCATCTGCTTCAAGTAGCCATCTAGGACTTGGTTGGCTTCGGTGAATTCTAGATCAGAGTATAGGTTGATGTGCGTTTCTCCGCCTACTGTCCTACCCACCGCGCACACTGCCTCCCTGAAACTAGACCTTGATAGATGTGTGAACTGGTCCCATAAAGCTGAAGCAGTTTTCAATGCTAACAAATGTGCCCATGTTCCCTTTTGCAGACCTAAATCAAACCCACCTGATCCCAGGACGTCACCAACTATGGCCGGTACGTTACTGACCCAGCCCTCTTCCCACCGCCATCTGGGCATCATCCTCACTCCTTCACTCCATCTGTCCCCCATATTCAACACATTACAAGCAAATTTCGAGGTCGGGCTTTTCTTTTAAACCACATGTCCAACTTCCTTCCTTTTCCTGCTGTGAATCTTTTGTATAAATGTTATGTTCGTCCCCTCCTTGAATATGCTGTTCCCGTTTGGATGTTTTCCGTTTCAGCCACCATGTCCACAACCCTTGATAAACTGCAGGCTACTGCTGCTAGAGCATACTTTTAACTAAATATACAGTTTCAGCTACAGTAGTAGGCACTTCAGGCGGTTTTTTCAAAACCAGAAATACTCATATTTCTTTCTTGTATCCGATTCAGATAGGTTTAGGAAGACTCCACAGAAAATTTGAAGCAAAAAGAATAACTTGGCACAGAGATATAGCCATCCAAAGTCGGAGAACTGAATAACGGCAATTTCAGTATTTCGACGGCACCAGCAGCATATCAGAAATTGGTAGGACTTGCTTCAGTGTCTATAGTGCCAAAATACCAGGCTCGCTGGAAGCAGGTCAAAATAACCAGATGAATGCAGAAACAGCATGGTTTGGAAAAACTTCGCATTTTTCATCCGTCCGGCAGCTCAGACGAAGATATTGGGTGTGGTCACCATGGCAACTCCATAGCAACTCCATCGCAACAGCATGAAAACAGTGCAGAGAAGCCTTTGGAAAAGCATAAGATGAGACTTTGAGGTAAGATAAAGTAACTACAATAATTCAGTGCCAGAACACATTGTTGCTACAATGTACAGTACTGACGTGGTGACGACTACGGAAGAACAATGAGCCGAAGAATGAGCAAACTAGAATTTTACCGGGTATTTGACGGAAAGAAATGACAAACTATTACATGTAGAACATTGTTTGCAAATGTTTGGGACTACTGAAACTTCAGCAACTCCAGCATGAGAGATTTTGTGCATAGAGTGTGTGCTGGATTCTTGGTATCACCGTCAATGCTTTTCTTGGTCGCTGGAAGCCACCTGCTGATCAGCTGACGATTTGTTCCAAGCAGGCCGTTTTGATGTCAGCTCTCTTGGTCCAGTCGCCGAAGTATATACTGTCCTACTCGTTGCCTGCAGGAGAGGACGACTGCTCCGATGCGACTCCAATATAATTATAACACCTGCAATATTTCTTCTTGCGCGGCCATGCGCATGGGCTCCGACGAACAAGGACTAGTGCCGGGAGGACGCCTGTCGCGGCTCGCTTTCAATAACACCTCGCATTATTTCTTCTTGCGCAGCAATGCGCAAAGTGTTGGACAAACGAGGACAACTGATTCCGAAAGGAAATACGACGCTGAAGACGATGAGCTACATGGCAAATGCGTGCAATCAAGTGAAATGCCCGAAAAATCCTTGCCGATTTTACTCGAACTGTACGTGAGTTCAAAAAATTGCCGCATAATGACGTATGTGGGCTCAAACGAAAGCTGAGGGCCTCAGCTACACGCTGCGCCACACGAGAAGGCCCTGCGCAGCTTCCGTGCAGCTACAGATCGATCTATGCATGCGCCTTTCCGTGGTGCCACGCATGTACGCGATTCAGCGTTAGCACTTTTTGACAGGTCGTGTCACGTGACTGAAGTGCCTAACAGTAGGCATTCGAGTATGTGAGTACAGATGGGTATTGTAGGCGCAGCCGGGTGTGATATGGAGCAGCAGCAGGGGTGATATCGGCCTATATCACCCGCCAAGGAAGGGCAGTGATTGGCCCATTCCTAGGAAACGATCACCTGATAGCGTGAGGTTCTCAATCTTTGCTTTTGCTGTAGCTCTATAACAGCGCGAAATAGTGGTTGCGACTTCGGCGATGATTTGTAACTGAGAAAGGGGCGAGCTCCAGTGTGGGGAGCAAACCCTTTCTTGTAGCTCTAGCTCTATAAGTTGCTGTATTTGACATTTTTCCATTATTCCCTGTATTTACCCATGATGAGAAGGGAACGAAAACGTTCGGTTCATAAATTGGCTTACTTGACTGTGTGGGTTGCGTCGGTGCTGATACCTTTCTTTCGAAATTGGATACGCCTCCAATTTTTTCCTTGATATGTGATAAATTGTCATATTTTTGCATAGCAGTTTCTGCTATACAAATGCACAATCGTATAGCAGTCTTTGATTTTGATTAGCATTTTTCTTTGAAAGTTGGGTGTTTACCACATTGTCCTTCGTGAGAGTCATCGGATGCCTGAAAGCCCATTAATTTTGCAAAAAACCGGACTGAATGATACATGGGCACGCAGATTGAGAGCACCTGCACCACATACACTGCATGGTATGCATGTTACCAAGAGGTTTATGTACTCTTGATGTTACTTGGCAGCGCAGACTAGGCATGGATAGTCTGTATGTATCGTAATTTTCTGCGAGTCACGGTGACTTTTGAGTAGCAGTAGATCGATCTTGCATCGCAGACTGCAATGCGATACAGGATAAATTCATCCCTGGGTTCGCTTGTGAATTACGCGACACCGGTGCTACACGCTTGCATACACACACACACACACAAACGCGCGTGCGCTTGATCAATAACGAAAACGGGCCAACGGCCACCCCCCCCCCCCCCCCCCCCCACACACACACACAAAGAGCAAGTGGGTGAGCAAATGGCTCAAGATAATGATATAGACATCACTGACATACTTCGAAGTGCAAGCAAAGGGTTACTCTACCCATAAGTTGTCCATTGGTAAACAGGCATGAATAGTGAATACTTTATGAATCAGACGGAAAATAAGCGTGTTGGGTCAGACCGCACTGAGAAAACGGCTAGAGATCCTGAGAAGCAGACTAGTAACACAGACTGCATAATAAAATTATTGATAGATGTAGATGTAGATGATGCACTGGCATGTTTCCGATAACAAGATATGAGAATGTAGTTTGGCGAAGCTGTATTATGAATGATGATGATGATGTGATGATGTACGATTCGAAAAATGTAACAAACTGGCAATTACTGTTTTCACAGTAGTTCAGAGGTACAAGTAAGTAAAAATCCGATTTCATGAAAGCAACTGTACCCAGTCTTACTAAAGCAATGGATGCAGTTCTACAGAAAAAAGCTCAATGAGTGACTGAAGTAAAAGAATATCGTATAATCATGATATACACTCCGAAATACTAAAATGGTTCTAAGAAAATAACGCACCCTAGCATGAAAGTAGTTCTCTGGTGAATGGTGAAAAACGCCTTTAGATAAGAATGAAGCAGATATGATTAGTCCTCTGACAGCGCTTGCACTATCACTGCATATGAATATCCAGAAATGAAAGAAGCAGTAGAAGTCGACACTACCGAGACATCAGTGGGAAAGTACAAAGAAAGTGAAATATCATTGATAAGTGCCCAGTAAAATACAAGAAAATTTCACTAGCCACCATGCTAGTGGAGCTGTTGAGTAACATAAATATATGGTCGATGAAAATAGTAGAACTGGTACACTCACTCAGATGTATGTCGTCATAAATCTGTGCGTGCGATACATTATAATAATAATATTATGGCAAAGTGAGGAAAATACATCTGCAAATTGCTGCCCATGTGACCGGTCTGGTTTCATAGATGACATGTCTGAACACTGCAGGAGACACCGCTACTGCGTTGTCCACCAAACTGCTGCATTCGTTGGCTGAAACACATGTCGCAAATCTTGGCAAGCGGAGAAAAGCTGGTCGGTCTGCCCATGCTCTTTAGAAAGTATTGCATCTGGGTGACGTTAGTGTACGGAGACTGTGGCGAAATTGGCGATGGAATGTTTTGGCAGTAGATGCAAGGCAGTTCCTTCAACTTGCGTTCACAAGCGTGGTAGTGTGTGACGCACATGAACACGTCAGACGCAGGTGACGTTGCAAGCTCACTCTCGTTGCAGTTGAAGACAGCTGCTACCATCGACTTGGAAGCATACTTCATATTGCAATATATAGAGCTACTACAGCTGGGGATGTGGCACATATCATGAACACCATGCACCTCCATATCCATTTCCTCGGGGTGGTAGTCCTTGAAGGTGTCACCATTATCATCGGACTGCTCAGAGGAAGATGATTTCCTTGGGCTGTCGTAGGGAATGCAGTTATCAATCATCACGGATATCGGGCTGGTGCTGTTACCGTCGCTTTGATCACTTCCACAAGCACCAATTTGCATGCCAGGAATGGCAACATCGCCAGGTGCAATGGAAGCATATCTCAACAAATCATGGCATGGATAGCATACGCACGATGTCTGACCCAGACCTATGCGTAGAGCCTCTTGGTTCAATCCGGCGTGCCAAGACATTGGATGCGTAAGGCGTGCAGGCTCTGGAGACTTACCACACACGTGACAGATGGTACAAGCACCTCTCTTTGGATGGACAGTTCTCCAATGATGGCAACGACCTCGTTTTGCCTGAGAACACAACATAAATCCAAACCATTCACAAAGGCTTTCAGTAAGTCAGGAGGGATGACGTTTGCAGAATTACAGTAGGTAAATACAGAAAAGGAGGACAAACATTCACATACACGTAGGAGGATCTACAGTCGCGCCAGATAAAATCTAGCCCAAAGTGCAAAACTGGCACCCTGGAGCAGCTCCGTATGCATCCTGGGTTTTTTGTACACATATATGTTCAGCAGCATTTGCACCACTTGCAGTGGGTCAAAGGCCGTGCAAGTCTGGGACGCCAAATGAGCACTTTGTGGCGGATTTCACCTAGTATGACTGCCGCTACATCCCATTCAGTGGAGTCTTAAAACCGTTTTTTTCCAATTATGACAGCTACCTACCTCATACAAAGGAAGACCAGTTGACTTTCTCTTCCCTTCAGGCCGGCCGTCTTCACTGCTGCTGCCGACAGATGAAGGCGTTTGGCAATTCATGCGGAGAGATGTCAATGCAGCACTGCTAGCTCTTTTGATTCGTGTGGTGTAACAGTGGTGACACACACAAGACTCAGGCTCGATGTTGAACATCTTATAGCCGTCAGCTGGTACGTTCCTCCACAATGCTGGATGAGTAAACGTGGAAGTCGCCCCTGACGAATGACAAACAGAGCAGGTGCTGCAAGGGCCGGCTTCTGGATGAAACGATTTCCAGGCAGCTTTCCTTCCTCGTTTCCGAGTCTATTATCCAACAACATTTGACAGTAGGACAGACAGGAAGAAGTGACTAGGAGACAGAAATAACCCAGCACTACATTTAAATGATTTAATAGCATTTTATTCTTCGTGTTAGGGAAGGTTAGGGGCCTTCCATAAATACCGATATTTACACATACAAATGGTACATAGTATCGATATTTTTGGTCTTTTTTCTGGTCATGCTCACGCATGCAAAATGTACATCGATATGTTTCGAGAAACAAACAGGCACTCAACCCCCTCCCCCCTAAACGACTAGTTTTCGTTTCTAAACAAATATCTATATTTACGGATGGCCCCTTAGGGCTGCTGGAACGCTATATTAGGTGTGATGTGCTCGGAGCACAAATCTGAGATCTCATTAGCGTACTAAAAGCTCAACTGACAAGGAGGGATTCCCCAAACAATGTGTGCACTTGAGTAGAGACTAGAGAGTAGTGCTTTCTTGCACGTTTGCACAAATCACCTTTAACAGTTGCTGCGGGGTCTGCTTCCCAATGTTGTCCGTGCCGAGATGTCAAGGCACACGATGGATTTTCACTGATTCATCGCAGGGCAAGGCACAGCTACAAATCTTAGCAATGTCAGGTCTGTGTAATCCTATTCAACTCACCATTCCATCAACATAGTCATCCCATGATTTTACTTCAACTGAGGGCGTCTCGTTTACAATGAAACACTCTCGTGATTTGATCTCTGATTCTTGTTTCGCACGCAAATCACCAACACTGCATGAAGGGCACGACAAGCACACAAGTTTACTAGTATCAGTTTCCAGGATCAAAAATGCAATGACGTGAGATCCTATCCGCTTCCTAATTAATAGTAATTATATAATTATTGGAACTACATCTAATGTTTAAAAATAAGAACTCTGATGGTGAGCCAACGAAAAAATTTGCAACTAAACCCGGCAGATTTTGAACAGCCGGATGTGCACAATTAATATTTGTCAGTTTTGTGCTAGATTGTGCACGTCTGGCTGTTCAAAAATCTGGTTTAGTTGGTGGACTCGATCACATAACTTGCGCCCACAATTTCCATGTTTATATACAAGTTCAAAAATAAGTTCGTTGTTTACTTTGATACAGTACCTCCGAATCCATCTGGTATTTCTCTGTTCGCCAATTTCGTTTTTCGGTGGTTTGCACACGATTTCTTAGGCAGGCAATGCACACAAGTATAAAGTTCTATTCCCCGAAAAGTAAATACTAGTATACGCTCTGCCAAGATTGACGATGAAGCACCTGTACTACAACTACAAATAGTCGTGGAGAGAAGAATACACTGCTATGTGCCACGATGACGAGGGCATTATTATCGTACGTGTGTACCAAAAAAGAAGAAAGAATGAGGGATCTGCAATATAAAGAATGGTACGTATGAGCAGCTAGCTGGGCACAATACTTTTTTGGAAAGCGGAGCCGACAGATGAGAACTCTTTTGGTTTCAAGGATAAAAGCTTTAAAACCTCAAAGGAATGAATGAAAGATCTCATTTGGTCCAAAACACCAACTTCGCGTACGCATACCCAAACAAAGGACAAGGACCTTCCTACAGAAGTTTCGTGCGGTTCATACGACAGGTCACACAAGGTCTTTCATTAGCCAACAAAATCCATCTCAGAGATTATCTCGCACGCCAGGGATCAGGGAGTGAAGGAAAATCTAGGAGTGCTTGATATTTCAAAAGGAAATTTCTTACCTGTCGCTGTCCATCAACACACCACGAAAAATTTTCGAGCCGAAGGCAAGCGAAGCGATTATCAAATGAGGGTCCTTCTGGATCTGTTCGATTTTAACAGTGATATCGTCTCCGACATGAAGCTCCATTCTTTCGCCGGCACTCCCGGCCATTACTACCAGAATTCGCAAGAGAGGACTGACAAAGACAGGAAGAGTCCAAACTAATAACTCAAATCTACACCAGAAAGTCGTCAGCCCCCTAGTACTAGCGAGAGAGGAACCATAAAGTGGCAGCAGTAGACGAATAAAAAACTATGAACAACATGACCATGAAAATCGTTTACAAAGGCAAAACATTGAACGCTCTACTCCTCTGCTAGATGGCAGAGAGAAAACTGCTTTGGAATCAATCATTCTACTGTTTGTTTACAGTATGTTCAGTGCAGCACTGCCAGCAGTCAGAAGACGACAGTAAAATCTGTTTTCGACAGCTTGATGGCATGCACAATACAAGCCTGCCGTTTGCCTTTCAAACGAAACTCGCGCTAGCGGTTCGCCACAGCATGCACTAAGTACAGCACGCAGCTCACTGGAGCGCAAGTGCTTGGACAGTCCAATCAGCATCCTTGAATGACATCATGCGTGTAGCGCCCGCTATGGATTGTGAATATTTGTGACCATGCATAGTGATCTGGTGATCGATGATGATCGCGTGCTCCGCCCACATGCCCCCACATGCTACATATGTACGTACATGCACAATACTACCCCGTAGCGCGTACATGTAGTAGATCTACCCGGGCCCAGCTCTGATCTTGGCAGCCTTGCTATGATCCGGTATCCAGCCCGGCGGAGCTCGAGAACAGGCGCCGGAGTGTGCTCGCATAATCTATCATGACATTATTATTATTATTATTATTATTTATTGCAACATCTCAAGACTCGGCGGAAACACCGGCCAATATTACGAGAGTGGGTGATTGCCAACCACGGCGATAAATAGAAAGAAGGGGAGGGAAAAAGAAAGAGTAGCAAAACGAACAGCAACAACAACTCCGTAAAGAAAGATAATGTCAAATAAAAACAGTGAAAAACACAGAGACGCAAAGGACATGTGGATAATGAGCTATGCATGTCGTAGTAAATAAGGGGCGGCACGGATCTTAAACAGGCGGAGTGAGGTCAGGTCCTTAACTTCTCTGGGTAGAGTGAGCCAAACAGAATAAGCAATAAAGAGAGGGGAGCGCAAAAGAGTGGATGAGTTACACTTAGGGAGTAAGAGTGAGTTTCTAGTTCTTAGAGAAGAGAACCAATTAAAACACATGAGATGAGGTGGGCACAACTCAAGCTTAATAGAATGGACAAGAGAAGCCAGGTGTGCACTGCGTCCATGTGATAACGGGGTTGTGTGAGCGATTTTATAAAGGGCGGATGATGAGAGCATGCGGGGTTGACGGAGGAGAATTTTAAGGATTTTCTTGTGATGTATTTCAAGCTTCACACATGTACATAATAATTTATTGTACTTCTAGTTCTACATAATGATTATGTACATGTAAGTCATTCTACATGGCCATGCCACGCCGGCCGTGATTCCGATTTCGTATGCAGCATTCCTGCGAAGATCATTTACTAGCCACGACAACAAACGAAGTTCAAGAACCCACCCCTCCCCAAGAAATCATAAACTGTGATGTTGAATCCACACGCACCCATCTTTTTTCCCACTAGGACCACATCGACACCATCATCTAACAGTGTGTCAGGGCAACTGAACCCAGATGCACCTACCTTCACTCTCCCATCACCATACGATACCTCAGCCTTCATACCAAACAAACATCCCCATCATATGCGGCTAGCCACAACCAATGCTTGCAGCTGGTATCCAAAGGCCGATGAAATTAATAACATATTTGGTACTTCAGACATGGACATATTAGGCATCACCGAAACCTGGCTAACTCAGAAAATTCCTAACTCTGTATTATTGCCAACTGCCGCTTTTGACATAGTGCGAAGAGACCGCCCATCTCATGTCGCTCTGCGTGGCGGTGGTGTTGCTTTCTTACTCCGACCAGGACTCGCCTACGTCAGAAGAGCAGACCTCGAGCCTGCCAACACCAACCTTGAAATCCTATGCATTCAACTTAAAAATGGCCACAAAGATGTCTATATTTTCTGCTGTTATCGGCCACCAAGGCAGGATCATTCAACATTCCTCTCTGGCTTGCGTGAGTCCATCTCTTCCATTACGGACACTACGGCTTCCATTATCATCCTCGGTGACTTTAATGCTCGGCACAACGAATGGTATAGGCAGGACCCGAACACTGCTGCTGGAAGATGCCTTGTCGAACTGCTGGATGATACTGGTTTTACACAACTTGTACGCGACCGCCCAACACGTTTCTCCGCCGCAGGTCAGAGCTCTTCTCTCCTTGACCTTGTTCTTTGTAACCAACCATTCCTCATCCACAACCTCACCACACTTCCCCCTGTTTCTGATCACTGTCCTGTGGTATTTGATCTCGCAATACAGACTCGTTCCCAGCAACCAGTGCACTCTGATTTGCTCGTTACCAACTATGCAGCCACAGACTGGCCCGCACTTAATAACCACCTTTGGAGCCTCCCTCTTCTCGCTGCTGTACAAGAAGCCAGTAGTACAGATGAAGCATGGGTCTCCTGGCGAACACTAGTTGACACAGCCATATTATCTTTTGTTCCGAAGGTTCGAAAACGAACAAATCGTTATGGAAAGCCTTGGTTCACCTCTGTGCACCATCGCCTCCGTCAACGTCGAGATCGACTATTTGCTGCAGCAAAACGTGTCAATACCCCTGAGTGCTGGGCTGCTTATCGCATTTCAAGGAACTGCCTCGTCGCTGCCATCCGTAAAGCTAAACGTCACTTCTACGACCAGATGTCAGAAGGCCTTCATGCAGATCGAGGATCTTATGACTGGTGGAAGAGAGTCAAGAAAATGTGCCACATCAATTGTCCTCACACCGCTATACCTGATATACAAGGAGTCGATACCTTAGCGGTTACCGACCCTGAGAAAGCGAACATCTTCTGTCAACAGTTCGCCAAGAATAGTCAAGCTACACCGTCGTCGGATGCAGATCATCGTGATCTTGTAACCGTCCAACCAGAGCGATTCAGGATCAAGAGTAGAACGACTTTATTATACCATCAACGGGGTTATATGGGACAGAAGTGTAATCCAAGGTGAACATGCAACACAGGTGTGATGTAACACAACGTAAGTGGGAACGTGTAGTAGGATGCACAGTGTGAGTGTGTGAATCTGTTACACCACCCCCCTCGTCAGCAAAGGTGAGCCGGGCTAAACACGAGTAGGTAAGCATTATAATACCAGTAAATCAATATTATTGGTTCGAAAATAATTGCTAACACAAGAGGCAATTCAAGGTATGGTAGGAAGTAAAACTCAACGCAGGAAAGGCGGCTATTGACGACGCTTCGTTTTCAAGTAACTCTGCAGCGGAATAATTTCCTTGTTAGACTCGTCCAATAAATGTTCGATAGGCTCCCAGGTGTTCTCACTGTAGCCACGCCATTGAACTAGATACTCCATGCGGCCCCTCCGTTTCCGTTCATCGACGACCGCGTCTACAATATAACGCGTGTTGCCGTCCAGATCCGTTATTGGTGGCGGAGGCGGCTGTTGCCGTCCTGGTATAGAGTTCTCCTCATACCGCCTCAGAGCTGACACATTAAACACCGGATGACAACGCATATTGGCAGGAAGTAGCAACCGGAAGGCATTGGCACCAACCTTCTCAGTTACAGGAAATGGACCATACCATTTGGAACGCAGCTTAGGGGACGGCTGATTCCGCGCCTCGGGAGTAATGAGGAAATCCCTATAGACCAGAACACGGTCACCAACCTTTATAGTACTGGGGGCACGAGTGTTGTCCGCATACAAGGCCTGCCGCGCCTGAGCCGCTACAATAGCATCCTTAGCAACGCGTAACGCATCCTGTTGCTCCTTCACCCAATCAGAGTGTCCGACTCCCATACGATCACCCAGCAAATCCGCTGGGGCTCGGGGGTGAAACCCAAAATTCAAATAAAATGGGGTATGCGATGTAGAGGAATGGTGGGCACTATTGATGGAGAACTCACAAAGAGGCAATAGCTTATCCCAATTGTCATGCTTATGGTTAATGAATGCACGGAGGATGTCTTCAACCAGCCTATTCACCCTCTCCGTTAATCCATCTGTTTGGGGATGGTTTGCCGTGCTGAAACAAAGCTTGGTTCCCAGAAGTTGAAACACCTCCCTAAAAAAGGCAGCAGTGAACCGAGGATCTCTATCTGAGACAATGGATGAACTCAAACCATGCAACCGAAAAACGTTAGCTATGTACAATTCAGCACTGCCCTTGGCATCAATGGATGTGGTAGTCGGTACCAAATGAACGCATTTAGTCAGGCGGTCCACAAAGGTATAAATAGCATCATGTCCAGCAGCTGTCCTAGGAAGACCCGTAATAAAATCCATGGCGATATCCTCCCACGGGCCTTTGGGTATTGGTAATGACTGCAGCAGGCCCGTGCGCAGCCTCCCCGGTTTAGTTCGCTGGCAAATATCGCAAGACTTCACGAAACGTTTGACATCGAGTCCCATTTTCGGCCAATAGAAAAATTTTGCCAAGCGTGAATACGTGCGGTCACGCCCTGGGTGACCTGCCGTCACGCAGTCATGGTTCTCCTGTACCAATTTCAGCCGTAGGGTACACCTCGGTATGCATAAACGGTTGCTAGGAGACGCCTTCAAGTAGAGGAACCCGGAGTCGTTGTCGATGAAGTACTGACTGTGCACATTGTCACTGTCGGGGCGCTTCATTCGTTCCATAACTACACTCAGCTCAGGGTCCACGGCATAACTGTCCAGTATCATGTTGGCTATATCGTCATTGACCTCCAAGGTATATTCTATAGCGTTTAGTCGAGCTTCAGGCGGAACCACATGATCTTCGTCCCTTAAGTCCGGGCGGCGTGACAACGGATCCGCCACATTCTCCTTGCCAGGTTTATGGTGAATAGTGTGATCAAAGTCCGCAAGAAATTCAACCCAACGGGACTCCCTTTTCGTGAGATTTGATTTTGTCAGTAAGTAGACTGCTGCTCGGTTGTCTGTGAAAACGTCAAAGTGTTCAAACAAATAAATGCGCCACATCCGGAGGGCGGACACAACTGCTAACGTTTCTCGTTCCGACGCTGTGTAGTTCCGCTCCGCCGAGGAAAGCTTTCGACTGCCGTACGCCACTGGCAACCAACAACCAGGTTCCCCCTCCTGCGAGAGCACCCCCGCGATTGCAAAATCGCTAGCATCAGTTTCAACTCGGAAAGGTTTTGATACGTCTGGAAGTCTCAAAATAGGGGGATTTAGCAGTGCCCTTCGCAACTCCTCGAATGCTGCCTGGGCCTCACCAGTCCATGAGAACCTGGTGTATTTACCCGTTAGCTCCT